AAGAGAAGCTGAAGCTAATGGAGATCTTGAATTCTCACTCTGCTTCCCAGTTACATATGAGAATGAGTCTGGTGGGAATAGAAACCCCACCTTGGAGCCTATACCTTACAAAGTACTTAAAGAATTAAAATTGGCCTGCTCTGAATATGGACCTCTAGCTCCTTACACACAAACCTTGGTAGAAACCCTAGCCAGTAAATGGATGACTCCTTATGATTGGTCACAGGTTTGTAAATCCTGTCTCTCAGGAGGCGATTACTTATTATGGAAAACTGAATATGAAGATCTTGCTAAGAAAGCTGTAGCCACTAGCGAAAAAACCAGAAAAGGAATAACCCTAGACATGATATTAGGAGAAGGTGATTTTAACACGGCTGAGGAGCAAATGAATATGCCCACAGAGGCACTTACCAAAGTAACCAGTTGTGCAGTAAGTGCCTGGAAATCCCTACCTTATACAGCAGGAGAAACAACCACCCTTACAGAGGTTAAACAGAAGGTCGAGGAACCATATCAGGATTTCCTTTCTCGCCTCATACAGGCAGTCAAGAGAGTAATCAATAACAAAGAGGCAGCCGATATCCTAATCAAACAACTGGCTTTTGAAAATGCTAATAATACCTGTCAGGCTTTATTAAGGCCAATTCGCAGAACAGGAACTATAAATGATTTTATAAAACAGTGTGCTGATGTAAGTCCAGCATTTATACAGGGTGTAGCTATAGCTGCAGCTCTCAAAGGGGAGACATACCCTCAATATGTACAGGCTATAGGACAAGCCAGCAATACTACAGGTAATAAAAGAAATATGAACTGCTACTCTTGTGGCTTATCTGGGCACTTTAGCAGAGAATGCCCAAATAAAAATAATAATACTCAGGCCAGATGGCAAGCTCCTCGACAGCCTGGAAATACATTAGGGAATAATATTAATCCTCCAAAAACCATCTGTCCCCGATGTCAGAAAGGATTCCATTGGGCAAAGGAATGTAGATCAAAATACCATAAAAATGGTCGGCCTTTAAACTCTACAAATAGCTCCCAAGGAGGTTATATCCCATCACCTCAATCGGGAAACTTGAGAAGGGGCCAGCCCCAGGCCCCTGCAATAATAGGGGCATCAACCTTCAACCCCTTTGCAAATTTCGATCAGTCAGTGACCTCTTCAGGGCAACCCCAGGCAGCGCAGAATTGGACCTCCACTCAACCACCCATGCAGTACTAACCCCAGACTCGCCAGTAGCAGCCATTCCTACAGGAGTGTCTGGGCCGCTGCCTGAGGGAACTGTAGGTTTAATATTAGGACGGAGCTCCACCTCGTTACAGGGGATCTTAGTCATCCCAGGAGTTGTTGATGCAGACTACACAGGAGAAATACAGATTTTACTTTCCCCACCCACCACAACTATACAGATTCAGCCCAACCAGAGAATTGCCCAATTAATCCTGTTACCAATACATAAAATAGGGACAGCTGTTACCCAGGAAGCTAGAGGGGCCGGAGGCTTTGGATCTAGTGATGCAGCATTTTGGATACAAGAAATCCATGCTACTAGACCTACAAAAATTTTACAAATTCAGGGAAAACCAATTGAAGGTCTATTGGATACAGGAGCAGATGTTTCCTGCATAGCAGGGAAGGATTGGCCCTCTTCATGGCCCACGCACACCACCTCCACTTCCCTAGTAGGACTAGGCAAGGCATCTAATGTAAAAAAGAGTTCTCAGATTTTAACTTGGGCTGATGAAGATCAACATTCAGGAACATTCTGTCCCTATGTAATTACGACTATCCCCTTTACATTATGGGGAAGAGATATCTTATCTCAAATGGGAGTTCTATTATATAGCCCCAGCGGTGTTTGATTTACTCCTGTTACAAAATATTACAAGAAAATGAGTTTAAATATTCCTCTCCTCATCATGTTCTACAACATACTCTATTTGTAATTAATATACTAAATGTAGATTCTGAGGGAAATTCCCCAATGTACAGGCATTGGAACCCTGATTTAACTAAACCTAAAGCCCTCGTCAAATGGAGAGACTTGCTTACAGGAGCCTGGAAGGGACCTGATGTACTTTTAACCCAGGGGAGAGGATATGCTTGTATATTTCCACAGGACGCAGACTCACCTGTGTGGATTCCAGACCGTCTAGTCCGACCTTATGTCTCACCGCCCGCCATCTCTGCCTCATCATAGCACACCTGACCAGTGCCCGTCTGCAGCAGATGTGCAGACCTGAGCTGGAACAATCTGTCCATTGGGAGGATCACATGTGCCTCCGTTTTGTCTTTCCACATGTCCCAGCTTTGCCCCACATCTCCTTTCCTTTTTCCTTTTTTTAAAATCTAACTACTTGTTTGCTGGTTCTTTGGCCTTTCTCCTTCTTTCCTGAACACAGCCTTTTCTAGAATCTCCCTACCCTACTGTTCCAGGAAGGGCATCTCCCTTTTATGCTGTGACTAGGGGTGTTTGGTATATGCCCCATACATGGAGTTGTCTTGTGCCAAGAGCCTGACATCCTGGGCTGAGAAAGCCCTGTTCCAGGACTCTCCTTTGTCCTGTATTGGCCCCTCTTACCCTTGTGTCAAGAGGGACCCTCTTCTTACAATCCAATTGCCCATAGCTGTTGCCTGAGCTCTCTGTTCATGCTGAGGTTGAAGCCGCATGGTGGCTGGTACCATGGATCTGTCTCTGGCCCAATGGCGTAAGCTGGGCCCTCTCTAGAGAAGAAACCTGAGTTCCCTATGATCAATGCCAGAGCCCCGCCAGCAGGCGAGGGAATCCAAAGGCAGTTGCTGGGCATGGAGGCCAGAGGGACATAGGCTATCAAGGAGACAAAACTGAACCTCACATCACCCTACTTGGCCCAGAGATGGCTGGTAGTCAACGACGGGTAAGACTCCACAGGGTGGGGCAACCTAAGACAGGCACAGTCGGGGGCCAGTAGGAGAAAACTTGGGGTGCAACAAAGGTGGGGCACAGACCCCCCTCCCCAATGGTGCAGGGGCTTGAACACTCGGCCCTTCTGAGGAAGGTCTCCTGTCCCCATGGCTGCTTCCTGCTTCCCATGCCCAGCTCAGATCGGGACCCAGGTAAAGACAGAGACTGGCTGACAGCAGCTGCCCTCTCACTGCAACAGGACTTGTTTCCCATTTCTACCTTGGACCACAGGGAAAGGGGCAGCTGAAGGAAAGGGCTGTGTCAGGATGCTGCATTCTTCCCTTTCTTCTCCCTCTTTTTTCTAAACACTTCCATGCCTTGTAGTTCTTTTGCTTTCTCTTCTTTTTCTACTACCCTCCATTTTCCATATCAGCTGGATCCAGAGGGCACAGCTTACTCCTCCTCGGACATCGACACCACCATCAACCACGGCCCTGATGGACCCTTTGATGTGATGCAGCCCTTCAACTTGCTGACGCTTCGGGAAGCCTGTCGCCAGTGACGCCGCCCGCTAGCCAGACCAACAAAGACAACCAAACCAACAACTTGAGGACAGCTGAAATCCCTTGACTGAAGAGGCTGGCAACCTTCTACAGGAATGGGGCTCCTTCTGCGCTCCATCCACTATGTTTATAGCTATGCTCACTATCATTGCTTGCCACTCTTCTTCCGAGACTTAAATGGCCCAATCTGAGAGGTGGCCACTGATTTGCATGCGTGATCATTTAAAAAATAAAAAAGGGGGAATTTGCCGGAAGCCGGTCCATCCTTGCTGCTTGACACAGTCGCTGCAGGAAAGAAACATCTGCACAGCATATGTTTCAAGGGACCTGGCGTATATAGCATACTGTTCTTAATATGTTTGCTCCCCTTAGCACTGTGTGTTTTAACCAAGGTCACCTCTCTGAGAAAGGTTGTTTCCCCAGGTAGGAATTTTTCCCTGAAGTCAGGGAGGGGATGCCTCTCCTAGAAAGGTTGTTTCCCCAGGTAGGAATTTTTCCCTGAAGTCAGGGAGGGGATAAAACTCCTTAACTAAGTGCCAGGCAGGTAGTTAATCACTACAAACAATCATGCTTAAGCTACATAATCTTTACTCCCTGGAATGGAGATAAGAAACGCCCTAACCTTTGTAATAGAAATTGACAGGATTAAAATCAACTGGTATAAATACGGATGTAACAAGACAATAAACAGCAGAACCTCTCTGGAGATCCAGACCAGAACTTGGCTGGAGATCCTGGCTAGAGATCCTGGCTAGGCTGCTGATCAACTGAACGCTGTCTCCGTGTCCTTCCTTCTTCGCTGACTCCATCCACACCTTTGGGGACCCCTGGACCTGCTGGGGTTGGACCCCGGCACTCTGCTAAGATCTTTGTCCCCTCAGCCTTTGCACATACTGTTCCTGCAAACAGAAAGGCTCCTCTACTCTACAGATATCAGTTTCTCACAGATTTCCCCTTCCCCCCGCCTCCCCTCATCTACATTAGGCCACAATTTGTATTTCTATCTTTATTTGTATGATATGGGTTTTATCTGACTTCCCTGTATTGTTGAAGCTGGGTAATGACTATAAGGAGGTTCATAATACTATCCTCTCTATGTCTGTGCATATTTGAAATTTACCAAAATAAACAGCTTTAAGTTTTTCCTCTAATCCTACACACTAAAAACAACTATTGTCTGCAATTACCCTAAACTAGTTTTTCAAATTTCGTATTTAAACAATTTTACCTTCCTTTGCAGGATAAATTTTTGTGTTTTTGTTCAGACATAAAATGCCAGTATTTTAAAGTTCCTAACAAGGTGTTGCCTGCAAGAAAGATAACTTGAAATTGATATCATGTAGCCTAAAAGAAAGATCTGAAATTCAATTGTTCTTTTTTCACTGTTTTTTGCTACTAAATAAAGTCTTATATTTGAAAGCAGCAATATTATTTACCATAAAGGACCCTAGACTAAGGATATAAAACTGTTGTTCTAGTTCCAGTTTGTCACTTTCAGTGACACATTTAACCTCACTTCCTTTTTAAAATAATTAATGTAATAAAAAGGTAAAATTATAAATTTTATTTTAGAGCTCTAAAATTCCATACTTCCATAATTTGGAAGGCCAAAGTAAAAAACCACCATAAACAATAACAATGTTTATTCTTTAAAAAATGAAGTAATAATTCAGAAGAACTCTTTTCTTCTTATTCATTCACAGGGTCATAACTCGGCAGTGGCGTGCATGCCGTGTGAATCTACAAAGCCAAGAACAGGAACCACTGCATCTCCTTTTGAAATCCTGATACTTCGATTCTTCTCTTCTCTGTTAACATATTTGTGCAACATGCTGTAGTACTGGTTCTTCGGATTGAAAGTATATAGTTCTGAAACCTGCTGCCAGTCTTTCATGCTCGGGGTCTTGCATTCCTTTGGATGTGAACCTTCAAAGAAACATTTAACATTCTCATTTGCCAATTCAGTCGCATGTTCTGTGGCTTGACTTCTGAGGATCTTCTGCTCCTGTTCCACATAGATTTTCCAAAAGCTCAGCTGTAGAAAACTAACTGGAGATACACATCGGGTGATAGCTACAATAATCAGAAGGCAGACGATAACAGCTGCTATCAGGATCCAGCCCAGTACCTAGGAAAACACATCAAAATACTAATTTAGTCGCATTTTTTACAAGTCATTATTAAGTCCTCAGAAAAAGTTTGAACTATTCAGCAGTCATGATGAACAAGCAAGTTTGAGGTCTTAATCTCGTAAGAGAAATGAGTGGCAGTGACCTCCGGAACCCCTCCGGAACCCCTCCGGAACCCCTCCGGAACCCCTCTGGAACCCCTCGGTACAACTGCTTGCTCCGCAAGTCAGTCATTTTCGAGTCCTGTCAAGAGTCCGGGGAAATGCCTTTATGTCACTCCCCTCGAACTCAAAACGTGGAATATTGGCAAATCCAGTGAAGCCAGCATTCATCTTCAAAAACCTCTGAGCTTTGTATTCCAAGAAGTGTGGGATGGTGCTTTAGAGCCAGGCAGACTCATTTCCTGGTGACAGTTCTGCCTTCTTCTGGCTGAGCCAACAACCCCACCTGGACTCAGTGTATTTGTCGGAGACTAATGTAGACGTAAAGGACCTAGCGCGGGTTCTCGCACAGAATAGGTGCCTAATGCTAAATGGGGCGCCTTTCCTCTTTTTCATCCCGTTTATCATCACATTTGCCTCTTAGCTCATGAGAAGCAAGAAGCCATTCTAGTTGGTCTTAGGTGTCCTATGTCTGGGGAAGGGGCACGGATTTCTCCTGTCCCGGGTCCGCCCGCAGAAGCCCGCCCTCTCCGCTGACCTGCGACTGGGCCCTGAGGTCCGTCAGGAGGTCCTGCACGTCGGACGCCTGCGCCTTGTTGCAGGGAACCAGCGGGAGTTGTTGGGCGCATTGGGGGTCACGGTCCGAGCACAGGCGCCGCGCCAGGAAGCTGCTCCCGCTGGCCGCGCACTCGTAGAAGGAGCCCCCGAGCAGCGCCACGGCCACCCAGGTGAGGGGCGCGATGGCGGCCGCCCCGCTCAGCTGCGCGAACACCAGGACCCCGCGCTGCCCCGCGTTGCAGCAGGCGCTGCAGCCGGTGTCGTCGGCGCGGTCGTCGGCGCCCCGCTTGCAGCAGCCGGTGAGCAGGCGCCAGGTGCGAGCGCTCAGCACGTAGCCCAGGAGGAAGAGCGCCAGCGCGGGGACCAGCAGGAACACCAGCCCGTAGGTCAGGTTCCAGGCGGCGCTGCAGGGGCACTGGAACACCGCGGTGGAGAAGATGCGCTCCCCGCCCGCGGTCAGAAGAGTCAGCAGGCCGTAGCCCAGCGTGATGCGGTGCTTGAGGTACAGGTCCAGCACCGTCTGCAGCTTCTTCATTGGCTCCATGCCCCAGGCGCAGCGGACAGGTCTGGATGCTTCTGCCTCTTGGCCGCCCTGCGCCTGGGATGCTTTCCGTGTCCTGGGGTCTGGGGCTTTCCGCTCTGCTAAGAAGCAACTTCTAAAAAGGGAAGAGGACTTCTCTGGCCCTGAGCTTTCGCTTTCTTATTTCAATGAAACCAGCCCTGACTGAAAAGCAGACCCGACCACACGCACCATTGGCCTCCCCAATGCCCACCCCTTTCTCAAGGCTGCTGCATTGGTGACCTCCCTCCCCAGTGCATGAACTCTGATTGAAGGTGATAACATCTGTCCCATGGTAACATTTGCTTCCACCCAGCTGACAAGGAACCAGGGGACTTTCCTTACCATTCCTGCCCCAATGCAGCTCCCCAAAGTCAACAATACTTCTAACTTAGGCAAACTGGGGAAAACCATTTCCTTGATTGCAGCCACCTAGTTCCTAAGCCTGAAGGAACAGTTACCAAAAACCCTCTGATCATTAACAGGAAACACAGATTCCTGGTTTCTCTTTCATAAGCTAATTCACAACGAAGCCCAGCTCAAGTTCTAGTACCTCCCTGGTGTCTGTTGACTTCCTGTTCCTCTTCTGGACAGAACCCCCACATCACTCATCTTGTTCTCTCCTCTGCCTGATCTCCCACCAGACATAAAGGACATTAGATTAAATACATTATATTTTATATTGACTTTTGCCCTTTTTTTTTTTTCAGGTATATCCTTACACTGTGGATACCTGGAGGAGTGTCAAGTTCTTACTCAGTGACCACCAAGTTGATCAATGGGGACTGGGGAGGAGTATACGGTTGTTCAATAATACCACTTGAGCCCGCCGTGGTGGTTCAGTGATTGAGTGTCGACCTATGAACGAGGAGGTCTGGATTCGATTCCCGGTCAGGTTGTGGGCTCCATTCCCAGTGTGGGGCATGCAGGAGGCAGCCGATCAATGATTCTCTCTCATCATTGATGTTTCTAGCTCTCTCTCCCTCTCCCTTTCCCCTCTCTGAAATCAATAAAAATATATTTAAAAAAATATCACTTGAACCCAAAACATTTCAAACTGCAGCTACATCTAACTAACATGTTGTTTCCGCCGCTACCTTTAGTTTTTTCAAAGCAGCATGGCTCTGACACAAACTGTAACCACTTCTGTGAAACTGACCTGACTCTGTGTGGCTCCAGAGCAGGTAAGGTGTACTTTGAAGTTAGGTGCAGTGTGTGTGTGTGTGTGTGTGTGTGTGTGTGTGTGTGTGTGTAAGTTAGTGCCTCTAAAACTCAGCATCTCATTTGTAAAAGCAGGTTAATAGTGCTCACTTTTCAGGACTGTTGAGCCGAGTAAATTGAGTAGCATTTGTCAAGCACCTTTACATATAGGGTGTGCCTATTAAATGAATACTCAATGTGAGCAATTGCCTCTTACATTGCAACTTTGAGATTAGACAACGAATAACTGTTGAACATAACTTAAGAATTCGGATGAATGCTGAGTTTTAGACCAAGGATTATATCCAGTGAGGCAACAATCCTCTACTACCTTAAGAGAATTGGTGTGCCCTTAACTGTCCACCTCATCACCAGGAGGGTTTTTGGATATGAAGTCTCGGTGGGCAGGTCACAATGAACTGGTCGCTGTTGGCACCCATCAACTAGGTTTGCTTTATCTATCTGGGAAGAATTAGTAACCTACAGAACCGAGTGAATTGTTAGAGAAGGGGCAAGAAATGTATTACTGTTTTCTTAGTCCAACTTGATGCCATCTTAGTTACCTCCCACCACCCGTATCTGGGACAAGACGACCGTTCTGTAGCATTTTGATGAACAGTTATGCTCTTTTTTGCGTCTTCAGAAGTTGTCCCCAGATCAGGGTCCTCATTGTCAATCAGTGGGTGCCATCTTCTCTGAGATTAGACCAGGTCTGCCTCTACACTTGCAGCAAAATTGCATGTTTGAAGCAAATCACTTCTGACTATCATCTCTGTAATCTTACATTTCCAAAAAACAAAACAAAACAAAACCTCTGCCTTTCCATGCTCATGTGACTGGGATTATTGAATACAGCAGGAATAATTTGCCCATGTATATTATAGTGGAGAGGATATAGATAATAAGGGGAAAGTTCTCAAGGTTATGCAGAAAATTAGGATAGAACTGTGTGGTAGAGAATGTCCTGAGAAAGCCTCCATAAGTACAGGGCACTTAAGCAGAAATCTAAACAGAAAAAAGAAATCTGAATGACCAAGGCTCTGGAGTGCCAAGGAGTGTGGCATGCTGTGGTTGGAAAGTGATGGGAGTATTGAGGTGAGAAGGAAAGTGGCCCATCATGAGTGCAGAGCTGCAGGTTGAGGTCAGGGTTAAGGTCTTTATAGACCAGAATATGTAGTTTGCAGTCCTGCCCTGAAATGCATTACAGCCTGAGCTGCATCCTGACCTATTATCCTGTCAGCTTGTGTCTGCAAACACCACCCCCTGGGGTTGCCACCCCTGTGCTCCCTCATCATGAATCCCACAGATTCCGATGGTTCTGGGTGATGTCCCTTCCGTTTTTTAGTTTCACTTTTGAAGTAGTTGCTCAAGGCAGCAAACTCCGGCGTTAACCTATGCCACCATCTTGGTTCTCTGGGTTTTGTTTTAACTGCGTTACTTTGTTTCTCAACACTCATTATCACTGGTTTTAGAAACCACAAAACATTTCTCAAAAAAGAAAGCAAGATCAAGTCTTGAAAGGAAGTAAACATTCACATTGTTCATAGCAATCATCTTCAAAGGAGCTAGTTTTCAAACTTTATTTTCTGTAGCTTTCAAGAGAACCCAGACTAATGGTGTGACCTGGTTGGAATACAACTGCTAGATTCTAGCAAAGTGTCAATCCTGTCCCCAAGACTCATCTACAAGAGTAAAATCAAATTAAGGTTCACATCTTGTAAGTATTTTCCATGTGCAAGACGCAACTTTAAAAGAAACATTCTTCCAGTCAGCATGACTCAGTGGTTGAGCGTCCACTTATGAATCAGGAGGTCAGGGTTCCAGTCCAGGTCAGGGCACATGCCGGGGTTGCCGGCTCGATCCCCAGTGGGGAGAGTGCAGGAGGCAGCCAATCTATGATTCTCTCTCATTATTGACATTTATATCTTTCTCTCCATCTACCTTCTCTCTGAAATCAATAAAAATGTATTTTTTTAAATAAAAGAAACATTCTTTTTTTTTAAAATTTTATTTTAGAGAGGGAGAGAGAGAGAGAGAGAGGGAGAGAGAGAGAGAGAGAGACATCTATTTGTTGTTCCACTTATTTGTGCATTCATTGGTAGGAAGTTTCTTTATTTAACTTTATTTTTATTGTTGACACTATGTCCCCATCTCCCTCCCCCCACCCCTGCTCTGCCCACCTCCACCCAGCCTCCACCAGCACTTTCCTCTAGCCATCACCACACTGTTGTTTGTGTCTATGAGTTATGCACATATGTTCTTTGGTTAATCTCTTTCACCATTCCTCCCAACCCTCTCCCTTCTGACAGCTGTCAGTCTGTTCCATGCATCCATACCTCTGGTTCTTTTCTGTTCATCAGTTTATTTTGTTCATTAGATTCCACATATGAGTGAGATCATTTGGTATTTATCTTTCTCTGACTGGCTTATTTCACTCAGCATAATACTCTCAAGGTCCCTCCCTGCTGTCACAAAGGTCTGCATTCCTTCTTCTTTACAGCCATGTAGTATTCCATTGTGTAAATGTACCACAGTTGTTTTTTATCCATTCATCTACTGATGGACACTTGGGCTGTTGTAAATAATGCTGCCGTGAACACAGGGGTGCATATATTCTTTCTGATTGGTGTTTCTGGATTCTTAGGATATATTCCTAGAAGTAGGATTGTTGGGTCAAAAGGCAATTCCATTTTTAATTTTTTGAGGAAACTCCATACTGTTTTCCACAGTGGCTACACCAGTCTGCATTCCCACCAGCAGTGCACAAGGATGCCCTTTTCTCCACATCCTTGCTAGTACTTGTTGTTTATTGACTTAATACTATAATGGTAGCCATTCTGGCAGGTGTGAGATGGTATCTCATTATGGTTTTAATTAGTGATGTTGAGCAGCTTCCAGTTACTCTGCAGCCATCCTGGAATCTCATTGGTTGATTCTTTTATATGCCTTGATGGGGGATCAAACCCACAACCTTGGTTGTATTGGGACAATGCTCTAACCAACTGAATTACCCAGCGGGTGTCCAGGTGACCAGGGCCAAGATACAACTTTAAATGCCAAACTTAAGTAAATTTAGAAAGTGTGACACTCTTAAGCTTAAAGAATACTCTTCTGGGCCAGGGGTTTAGCTGGTTGGAGGATCGTCCCACATGCCCAAAGGTTTGTGGGTTCAATCCCAGCTCAGGATTCGTAGGGGAGGCAACTAATCTATGTTTCTCTCTCACATCGGTATTTCTCTCTCTCCTTCTCTCTTCCTTCCTCTTTCTAAAAATTAATAAAAAAATATCCTTGAGTGAGGATTAAAAAAAAAGAATACTGTTCTGCATGTTATAATTTGTAGATATATCATTTAGTTATGTAATATATTTTAAAATCTGGAACCAGCCCTAGCCGGTTTGGCTCAGTGGATAGAGCATCGGCCTGTGGACTGAAGGGTCCCAGGTTTGATTCTGGTCAAAGGCATGTACCTTGGTTGTGGGCACATCCCCAGTGGGGAGTGTGCAGGATGCAGCTGAATTGATGTTTCTCTCTCATCAATGTTTCTAGCTCTCTATCCCTCTCCCTGCCTACTGTTAAAAATCAATAAAATATATTTTAATCCTATATAATAAAGAGGGAATATGCTAATTGACCCTCACACCGTTGCAAAGATGGCAGCCCCCACAGCCAATAACGAGGGATATGCTAATTAACTGCCACACCCTCAATGATGGCGGCACCCAGTCCCCTCAGCCCCGCCACGCACCTGCCTCCAGAGTCCCCCAGTCCCCTCAGCCCCCCAGCTGCCCAGGGCCGGCCTGAGGCTCAGCTAACCAGGGCCGGCCAAGGCTTGCGCTGCCGGCAGTGGCAGCAACAGAGGTGTGATGGGCATCACCTTCCCCTGATTGCTGGGTATCTCCCTCCCCTGAGGGCTCCTGGACTGTGAGAGGGGGCAGGCCGGGCTGAGGCCCCCCCCCCCCCCCCCGCTCCAGTGCATGAATTTTCATGCACCAGGCCTCTAGTAAGTAAGTAAGTAAGTAAATAAATAAATAAATATAAATAAAATCTGGAATCTATTATTATGTTAAGACTTTTGAACATTTATAAAAGTTCTTCCTATGGAAATGTAAACAGAGGAAAGATCAGATCTTTTCTTTGACATAGGAGTGTCATTTGTTAAATGACAATACCATGACATTTCAAATGCCAACCTTGTGACAAACACTAGTTAAGTCT